TCCTCATGGCTGATGCAGATGCCACTATAAGCTTTTATGACATGTATGAATTAAGTACTCCTCATGGCTGATGCAGATGAACAAAGCTATCCAAATGCAGGAGTCACCAAGAGCAGGTGCTTGAAGGACACTCAACCAAATAAACAAACATATGAATATTTACAATATATTTATATAATAAATGCTAAAAAATTTATTATCTAGTCCTTTTTTGGGGGCTGATGCACATGGACAAGAATACTAAACAGTTATCAAAATGCAATAGTCACCAAGGGCAAGTGCTAAAGGGACATTCTATTATGTACTGTAAAAATTTAGTGCAAAAATTATTTGGTTTTGGATGCAGTCTCTAGCACAACTTGTCCCAAGGCTCTGAGAAAAAAAGTTCTTAAAAACAATTAAAGACAAGGAAATAAATTATGAGGATTTTTAATGAGAGCACACATTTCAAACAAGATATCCTTCTTTTCCTTATTCATTAACTATGTTGTGATGTTACACTATTGTTTCAGATAAGGGTGAAGGTTTGGTACCATTAAAACATTTAAACCCGCTGCAAATGTTTGCACCTATCCTAAGTCAGGAATCTGATGTTCAGTAGTTGTCGTTTGTTGATGTGGTTCATAAGTGTTTCTCGTTTCTTGTTTTTTATATAGATTAGATCGTTGGTTTTCCCGTTTGAATGGTTTTACACTAGTAATTTTTGGGGCCCTTTATAGCTTGCTGTTTGGTGTGAGCCAAGGCTCCGTGTTGAAGACCGTACTTTGACCTATAATTGTTTACTTTTATAAATTTTGACTTGGATGGAGAGTTGTCTCATTGGCACTCATACCACATCTTCTTATATCTATGATCATGGGTAGTCAACTTATCATAACTAAATTAACTGATCATGGGTAGTCATAACTAAATAAACTGATCATGGGTAGTCATAACTATATAAACTGATCATGGGTAGTCAACTTATCAAACCAAATCAACTGATCATGGGTTAAGTCAATTCAACTTATCATAACCAAATAAACTGATGATGGGTAGTCCACTTATCATAACTAAGCATGCTTAATAAACTGATGATGGGTAGTCCACTTATCATAACCAAATAAACTGATGATGGGTAGTCAACTTATCAAACTAAATCAACTGATCATGGGTAGTCAATTCAACTTATCATAACCAAATAAGCTGATGATGGGTAGTCCACTTATCATAACCAAATAAACTGATGATGGGTAGTCATAACTATATAAACTGATCATGGGTAGTCCACTTATCATAACCAAATAAACTGATGATGGGTAGTCAACTTATCATAACCAAATAAGCTGATGATGGGTAGTCAATTTATCATAACTAAATAAACTGATGATGGGTAGTCCACTTATCATAACTAAATAAACTGATCATGGGTAGTCCACTTATCATAACCAAATAAGCTGATGATGGGTAGTCCACTTATCATAACTAAATAAACTGATGATGGGTAGTCAACTTATCATAACCAAATAAGCTGATCATGGGTAGTCCACTTATCATAACTAAATAAACTGATGATGGGTAGTCCACTTATCATAACCAAATAAACTGATGATGGGTAGTCCATTTATCATAACTAAATAAACTGATGATGGGTAGTCCACTTATCATAACTAAATAAACTGATCATGGGTAGTCAACTTATCATAACTAAATAAACTGATCATGGGTAGTCAATTCAACTTATCATAACCAAATAAACTGATGATGGGTAGTCCACTTATCATAACTAAGCATGCTTAATAAACTGATGATGGGTAGTCCACTTATCATAACCAAATAAACTGATGATGGGTAGTCAACTTATCAAACTAAATCAACTGATCATGGGTAGTCAATTCAACTTATCATAACCAAATAAGCTGATGATGGGTAGTCCACTTATCATAACCAAATAAGCTGATGATGGGTAGTCAATTTATCATAACTAAATAAACTGATGATGGGTAGTCCACTTATCATAACTAAATAAACTGATCATGGGTAGTCCACTTATCATAACCAAATAAGCTGATGATGGGTAGTCCACTTATCATAACTAAATAAACTGATGATGGGTAGTCAACTTATCATAACCAAATAAGCTGATCATGGGTAGTCCACTTATCATAACTAAATAAACTGATGATGGGTAGTCCACTTATCATAACCAAATAAACTGATGATGGGTAGTCCACTTATCATAACCAAATAAACTGATGGGTAGTCCATTTATCATAACTAAATAAACTGATGATGGGTAGTCCACTTATCATAACTAAATAAACTGATCATGGGTAGTCCACTTATCATAACCAAATAAGCTGATGATGGGTAGTCCATTTATCATAACTAAATAAACTGATGATGGGTAGTCCACTTATCATAACTAAATAAACTGATCATGGGTAGTCCACTTATCATAACCAAATAAGCTGATGATGGGTAGTCCACTTATCATAACTAAATAAACTGATGATGGGTAGTCCACTTATCATAACCAAATAAACTGATGATGGGTAGTCCATTTATCATAACTAAATAAACTGATGATGGGTAGTCCACTTATCATAACTATATAAACTGATCATGGGTAGTCAACTTATCATAACCAAATAAGCTGATGATGGGTAGTCCACTTATCATAACTAAATTAACTGATGATGGGTAGTCAATTCAACTCATCATAACCAAATAAGCTGATGATGGGTAGTCCACTTATCATAACCAAATAAACTGATGATGGGTAGTCATAACTATATAAACTGATCATGGGTAGTCCACTTATCATAACCAAATAAGCTGATGATGGGTAGTCCACTTATCATAACCAAATAAACTGATGATGGGTAGTCCATTTATCATAACTAAATAAACTGATGATGGGTAGTCAACTTATCATAACCAAATAAGCTGATGATGGGTAGTCCACTTATCATAACTAAATAAACTGATCATGGGTAGTCAACTTATCATAACTAAATAAACTGATCATGGGTAGTCAATTCAACTTATCATAACCAAATAAACTGATGATGGGTAGTCCACTTATCATAACCAAATAAGCTGATGATGGGTAGTCCACTTATCATAACTAAATAAACTGATGATGGGTAGTCAACTTATCATAACCAAATAAGCTGATGATGGGTAGTCCACTTATCATAACTAAATAAACTGATGATGGGTAGTCAACTTATCATAACCAAATAAACTGATGATGGGTAGTCCATTTATCATAACTAAATAAACTGATCATGGGTAGTCAACTTATCATAACTAAATAAACTGATCATGGGTAGTCAATTCAACTTATCATAACTAAATAAACTGATCATGGGTAGTCAATTCAACTTATCATAACCAAATAAACTGATCATGGGTAGTCAATTCAACTCATCATAACCAAATAAGCTGATCATGGGTAGTCCACTTATCATAACCAAATAAACTGATGATGGGTAGTCCACTTATCATAACTAAATAAACTGATCATGGGTAGTCAACTTATCATAACTAAATAAACTGATCATGGGTAGTCAATTCAACTTATCATAACCAAATAAACTGATGATGGGTAGTCCACTTATCATAACTAAATAAACTGATCATGGGTAGTCAATTCAACTTATCATAACCAAATAAACTGATCATGGGTAGTCCACTTATCATAACCAAATAAGCTGATGATGGGTAGTCCACTTATCATAACCAAATAAACTGATGATGGGTAGTCCACTTATCATAACTAAATAAGCTGATGATGGGTAGTCCACTTATCATAACCAAATAAACTGATGATGGGTAGTCCACTTATCATAACTAAATAAACTGATGATGGGTAGTCAACTTATCAAACTAAATCAACTGATCATGGGTAGTCAATTCAACTTATCATAACCAAATAAACTGATCATGGGTAGTCAACTTATCAAAGTTACCACAATTTTTCTTAGCACTCTGTTATAGTTTGCTTTTCTCATTATTTAGCGAGGTGCAATTAAGATAAAAAATCTTCACCTCCATAGCTTGAGCATCTGGGACAAGCTCTACCTGTCCAGGAATATATGTGGTATCTTAACATTTCAGATACTATATCATTTATATGTGTATCTCAAGATTTCAGACACATGTAGTATTGTACTACAAATGTATATGATGTATATATATGTTGTATCTTAACATTTCATTATTTATGTTATTTGTTGTCATTCTCCATTGATGATTCAAACTTGTTTGTAAAACACATACTAGATAATCACTGATGCTGTTATATTTTGTATGTCAATTCTATATGCTGTATTGCTTTTGAACAAAAGACTATTATTATTAACATTTCAGAGCTTGTTATATTGTTAAAGATACAAGTAGATTACTAAGAAAAGTAAGCCAATAGAAATGTTGTAATCAACATTCCAGGTGTCTGTCTCTTCATGTTATAATTCATTTTTTTAATGTATGATATTTCATGGTCAAATAAAGGCTACCATTCTTTTTAAAGCAAACTTTGGCAATAATTTTATACCAGTTTACACAAAAAACTGCCAGCAATTCCCAGTTTTACCCAAACTATACAAATATCAATGTATGAACTATGTCGTCTCACTGGTCCCCCTCTTCACATAAAGGTTATATAATAATTATTTTTCTAAGACATGTTAGGCAAACAAAAGTATTTACAAATTATTTGTGTTTGTCAATTATATTGAAATTAATGTAAATTTATCCAAATTACTCGTAAAAAAATAATATATGTTTTGACTTATCTACATTACTAACACGAAAAGATTAATTCAACTAAATGCAGCAACTCTTCAGATTGGTCAACAGCATATACTGCATACATGTATATTATTGTTATGCAAATGTTTCCATCAAATTGTTTTGTTTTAAACATGCACTACTAGGCCCCTTATTTGGTGAATAATAATTGCTATTCTTGTTCTGATACATGTAATTCAATTATAAACATTTATATAACTCACCTGAAGTAATTAAACATGTAATCCAAATATAATAAACTGTATAATCCATGGTCATCACTATAACATAATTCACAATCACTTAAATCTCAATTGTAAACTTTGGAATCCTTGAAAAACTTGGCTACAACTCACACCACAATTCTGAAAGAAGAAAAAACACATAATTTATAGTACAATATTTACAATTATTGCACAGGCTTCTTATAATTATCCTTGAGATGTCTTACATCAAATCCTACAGTAAATTCTCTTTGTATACTTTAAGAAACAGTTGATTTGAAGATAAGTTTGGTAATTGATGACTTCCTGCAGAAAGAATACACAACACACTTATCCAGCCATACCTTAACATTCTTGCATGCGCACATGTCAGCACACAATACTACATGGTAATCACTTGTCTTATTAATAAATCTATCTACAATCTCTGTGTAGTGCCAAAATATGCATAAAGGCTACACCTAATTAATTATTTGTTCTAAGGCCAAGCTTATATCACCTCGTTTCAGATTCAATTAGTTTGAGAAAACCTTTTCTGTCGTTTTATTTCAATATCATTAAATTGCTTAGAATTACTAATTTACTAACTCATAAAGTCCAGAGACAGGTCCCCACCATATGAAACCCTCAATGGCTCATGAAGTTCAGAGACATCAATCTTAGCTGGGGGGAAAAGTCGTTCGAAAAAAAGTCACACATTTGGTAACAAAGAAGTTGAAGGAAAAAAGTCACACATCTGATATATGCAGTAAAAAAAGTCACAGGAAAATTATTTTTATTTGAAAATGAAATTATATGATAATTTGTGTCAAAAATATAGATTTAAAGAATGTATGTTATGTTTTTTTTTTAATACAAATTGTGAATGAAACCATCAACTTTCTCTTACTACAAATAACTAAGTTAGAATAAATGAAACCATTAACTTTCTCTGAACTACCAAATAAAGTTAGAATACATAAAGGGGACTGGCATTTCAATATTTCTGTTTATTGCAATTGAATAACCATTCCTTAATCATCAATTAAATGTTGTCCATACAGATGAGGAGTTTTTAAAACAGTACACCAGATTGTTACCAGGTTATATAATTAATTAACTGCCTAAAACTATTTACATTGCCTGTCAGTTGTCTACTGTCTGAACAGATTACACATTTATAACACCATAAAAAAATATAGGTTGTTTCTAAATATCCATTTACTTATCAATAAAAGTTCCACATAAAGTTTTAATAAGATAGAGAAAATATATGAAAACCTTCTGAAATTCTTAAAAAAAAGGAAACTTTTACATTAAATTTCGTATTAATTTAAATGTTCTTATGATTGTGATTTTATTTCCTGTGAAATTATCTCTTACAAGTTACATTCATAAATCAACATTTTCATCATTTATAACTGTATTTCACATTACTTTTCACTGTAGTAATATTAAAAGTTTCAATTGGTCAAATTGAGAAGGTAATCTAATTATAAATATTCACTCAATCAGAAGACCCAAATACTGAATTTTTATAAAATTTGAACACAGGATTTCTTATTGCACAGTTTCTATGGTCTTAACATTAAATATAAATAAATTATATTAAAATTTGTAAACATTTATTTCTGAGCATCTTTTTATATTAGAGAGAGAGTTATCTTTGTTCTGATTTTAATGAAATTCTGGAGTAAAAAAAGGATAGGCACTGAAATAATTTTTCAATCATTTGTAACATCAAAAAACCGATAGAAAGAGTATAATATGGTTTCACCAAATGAAAACTTTTTAATCTAAATCATGTAAAACATTAAACAAAATGATACATTATTATGATAAGCTTTCAAAACAATTTCATGTAAATTAATCAAACAGACGAAGTAGGTTTCATTATCTTAAACAATCATAAATGATTTAATTTGATTGATTGGTGTTTAACGCCACTTCAGCACTAATTCTGCTATTTCGTAGCATTCAGTTTTTATTGGTGTAGGAAGCTGGAATGTCAGGAGAATACCGCCGACCTTCGGTAGGAAAACTCACAGTCACAACCCTAGTCAACTAAGATTGGAGTCCAGCAAACCTACCACATGCAGGATTCGAACTCACAACTTCAGTGTTGACAGGCTTGTGATATAGCAGTAATTAGATTACTTAGACCACAGGTCACAGAGGTCCCAAAATAATCATATATGAAGTAACGTAGCATCCAAAAAAATTTCATCTAAAACAACCATACATTTGATCTCTAGTGGAGAGTTGTCTTATTCATGCATTGGCAATCATACCACATCTTCTTAATTTTAGATGAAGTAAGGTGACATTCCAAAAATATTCCAACTACAACAACCATACAGATGAAGTAATTTATCATCCAAAAATATTTCATCTAGAACAATCATAAATGAAATAAGGTAACATCTGAAATCATTTCATCCAAAACAATCATAAATGAAGCAATATACATGCAAAAGCAAGATAAAAGCAAGATGTAAAATTCAATACATTGTATTTAAAAACAAATATTTCAAATTAACAATAATTGCTTTCTAAACATTAAGTTTTATCATTGTATTTATATTGTTTTATCTCAATTTATAATTTACTTACCACCAAACACTACAAGAATAAGTCACATAAAATATATGTAATCCTTTGTAAAATGCTTTTAGATTTCAAAAATGTGTAGGCACAAAAGACATAAATAAAATAATCTGTGCTTGTATAGACGTAGCCTGAGTTGATGTCGATATTCAATACTACAGGACGATCTCTTCCTTTCTTCCCAATGTATTGGAAAAACTATGAATGTGGTTCGTGTTTACTTTAAATCCTTCAGTAAAAATCAAACACTTAACCATGCAATGAAAAAGAATTTTCACAGGTATGTTTACAAGCTTACCTTGGGTTACCTGTAATTTTACATCATTTTGTCATGCAAAGAAATACCATGGAGAAATTAAGGTTCCATACAAAAGATCGCTATTTTCTTTTTGTTGATCTAACTTCTATAGTTAAATTTAAATGATTGTTATAAAAGGCTAACATCATTAACTAAATAATGAAAATCAGCCCTTGAAGAAGTACATTACAACAGGGCTTCAAGACAGTAATCAAATTACACTATTAAACCTCGTACATAATCATCAAAAGTCATGGATATGAATTTAAATTGAGAATTAAAAATTATGAATTCAAAATCTTTTTTTCCACTTTAAGTCTTAGCACACAAAAGATTTATAATTTTTTTCTATTTTTGTGAGAGAAAAAAATAATCTAAAGAAATCATTAAAATTGAATGAATTATTGAATTACCACTAATTGTCTTCATTGATAATTCATAAATGTAAGAAGTCTTCTGATATGGCTTCAGCTGTTAAGGTGTAAAAACTATCAAGTCAAAAATCATTAAAATATAACGAATACATTTATCTCTATTTTTTAAAACAAATCTGATTAACTCAGTTATTCCACTTCCCAATAAATTCTTAAAGATATTCAAGTAAAACCAGTATACCTTAAAATGATCAAATATAACAAGTGGATACAATTTATGGTATCAGCTAATCTGCATAAAATGTATTAATATTATCTGAATAATGCTGGATTTATGATAACACCTGTACCCTGCCCAAAGATAATGTCACCATTGTAAGGTGTCAGAGGTGACACTGTTGTTTAATTATCTAAATCACTCTCCATGTTTCCATCTAGGGGTGAATATATAATCAGGTATTAACTTTAACAAATGTTTCCTTATTGGTAATCAATTATATCTACTATGGAGCCTTTCTGCAGCAGATCACAAAGTCAAGATAAAAGGATGTATAACACAAAAAAAGGATAACAGGTGTCCTAAATATATTGGACAGTACAGCAGAACAAAATAACACCTTTGAAGAAAAAAAAAAACACATGGCGTAACAAAAACAGCAGTTAGAATTCAGAAACCATGGTATAAAAACATTATAACACCAAAATTGTGCTTTTAATATTATACACATAGTGTACTCTGGGACATAATATATTAGTATAACAGTCCCTGGTGTACTTTAGTCTCAAAATTTAAAAAACAAATCCCAAATAGAACATAGAAAAGCTGTTATTATTGTTTGGATTACCCCAAAATCTAGATAAAAGTTGAAATTTTGAACACATGAAATAATTACATGTATCTTGTCTCTTTAATTGTGTCTGTAAAGTTTTATCACTTTCAAGTAATGAGACACCGACCATGAATCTTTTGATGGGACATGTGCTTTCGTTTTCTCAGGTCAAACATTGTTTTCGACTTTATTCAAAAACAAACTAATTTTTTAACAAGAACATTAAGAAATTATTTTGAAAACTCAATGTCATATTTCCCCCTGATTTTCAAAGCTTTCCTAATTGTATTCTATAACTTTACAGTAAAATAATTTGTTTTAAAATAAACCCCTCCCCCAAAATAAAAAAAACAAAAACAAAATAAAAAAAAAACTGTAAAAAAAACACACACACGTGACGGTGCCTAATGCCGAAACTTATAATTCTTTTGAAAACGTCAAAGGGAAGTAATTTTTATAGCTCAATTAAGCTATATGGTTAACATAAATTGTACAACTTCAAAAATCAAGCCTTGTTTTAGATTACCCCCGAACTCAGCCATATATAGATATATTTCGAATCCCTCCGAGTTAGAGAACAATACAAGGGACTTAACTCATAATAGAAGGGTTGTGTTTAAACTGGAATTCCTCCTGCAAATGGGGCACTAGGAATGAGTGATACATATACTACACATGTTCGTCTTCACAGATTTAATCATACGGAACTTAACTAACTTAATTAATGGCTTAAGAGTGTTATCCCTTTGATGTAAATATAAAAAAAAAATGGGATCAGAAAACTATGATGATATAGGGATGGAAAAACCACAGGCGCTTGGGTATAGGATTTGGATATTTTTTTTCATTGTGAATTTGTTTGTACTGAATATTCAATTTTTTATTTTGATACCACATACTTTAATATGACTATTGTTCTTATCTTACATTGTTTCGGGTGAATTTCTTTTATCAACTCTGAAATCACTTATCCTTTAAATACGTCCCCCCCCCTCCCCCGGTTTTGATAGTAAACTAAGGGATAGCATCAGAGTTGATAAATACATCCAAAAC